AACTGTATATCTCCTGTCTCTACACTTCACTTGGTCCCCGACTGCAAAGGTGATGCACCGCGTCTTTTTTTCATCTGAGACTTCGCGACATCACTCCGCTGCTTCCGTATTACATTCTTGACGGCCTCTTTCCGCTCTGCTTTTAATTTCGTCGTACTCCACTTTTGGTGAAGGGGCCAGGTCTCGTTGTGTATCGGTAATCGTGGTTTTCTACCATACATCAGTTGAAAGGGTGACTTCTTCGTTGTTTCCTGAGTGGTAGCCCGATGCGTCAGTAAAATCAGTGGAAGCTCCGTATCCCAGTTACCGCCCTTCGAGGCCAGCCACTCCTTCAGTGTACGGTTGTTTCTCTCCGTTAAGCCATTCCTCTGTGGATGATATGGGGTCGTTCTGATCCTCTTGATGCCCAGCTGTTGCAAACGGGAAGTTAATTCTTCACTCTCGAAACGGGGACCTTGGTCTGTCAGTATCGTCTTTGGTACGCCGTGGTCTGCAACGATGTGTTTAACTACTGCGTCTATCACGGTCTTTGCACGTTGATCTGGGATCGCTACGGCGTCTACCCATCGTGTCGCGTGTTCCGTCATCACCAAGAGGTACTGATTACCATTGGATGTCTGAGGAAATGGACCCATAACATCTACGGACCACAAGTCACCTATCACCGTAACTGGAATCGACTGAAGCGGTGGTCGTATGCACCGGTCGCCTTTCATTAGCTGGCACCGTGGACATCCAAGTACGTATCTTGCTACGTCTTCTCTCATACCTGGCCAGTACATGCTTTGTCTTAGGAGGTCAGTTGTTCTGGCCACGCCTGTATGTGCTAGCTGGTGACATTCTTCTATCATGTCGTGGCGCGAGGACTGAGGTATGATAGCCAGCCAGCTTCCGTCGTTCTCTCGCCAGGTCAGAGTCCCGTAGGCATTCACTCTTAGTCGATCTCTCTGTCTGAGTAGTGTGGTTAGCTCCTTACTCGCCGTAGCTTGATCTACTTCTATCCCGTTGGTTATCACCTGTATCACTGTATTCAGCGTATCATCCAACCTTTGCTTGCGTGCAAGTTTTAGTGGGTCTTGTTCTACAGCATGCACTCCGTAAGCGACCTCGGGCAACTCAGGCTCGTCTTCTGGTCTCGATAACAAATCTGCCAAGACATTTTCACTTCCAGGAACGTGTGAGATGGTAAAATCGTACTCCTGAAGACGCAACATCCACCGTGACAATTTCCCCCGTGGGTCTCTCGCTGTCTTCAAAAATTGTAGCGGCTTATGATCAGTTTCGATGTGGAACCGCCGGCCAAGTAAATAAGGTCGCCATTTGTCGACTGCCCATACCATTGCTAAACATTCTTTCTCTATCGTTGAATACTTTCTCTCTGTGAGTGTTAAAACCCGACTGGCATGCTCAACGATTCCATCACCTTGTCTTAGGACCGCACCTATGGCGTAGTCACTGGCATCTGTGCACACTGTAAACTGTCTTCCAGGTACAGGTAGTTTTAGCGTCATTTGTTGGTGGTCGAACAGGTGTTTAATTCTGTCAAATGTCCTCTGCGATTCTTCCGACTAAACAAACTTCGGCTCACCTAGTAGCCTGTATAGAGGGGCTGCTATCTAATTGAAGTTCTTCACGAATCGACTATAAAACGCCGCTCTACCCAAGAATTGCCTCAATTTCCTCTTTGAATTCGGGGCTGGAATTGTTTTAATCGTCAAAATTTTCTCCGGTAGTGGTTTAATCTCACCATTTCCTACTTTATGTCCTAACAGAGTAACATTCTTTCTGGCTATCTGGGACTTGGTTTTGTTAATGCGCAGTCCAAACTCTTCGATGCGTCGCAGCACGGCTTCTACATGCTTCACATGATCGTTTTCGTTTTGACTGTATATCACGAGATCATCACCATACACTTCCACGTTTTTCAAGTTCCTAAGTAATAGCGTCATCAGTCGTCTGAAGGTAAACGGTGCACCTGCTAGTCCAAACGGCATGCGTTTAAATCGATATTGTGTCTGGCCCACGCTGAATGCCGTCTTATCTCTATCACCTGGTTTTATCGGTATCTGCCAGTACCCTGAGCGAAGATCGAAAACGGAAAACACATTCGCGCCTTGTAGGCGGTCTAAAGTTTCCACCACTGTTGGCATGGCACACGGTTTTAACTCTGTCATACTGTTTAATTGTCGAAAGTCAACACAGAATCTATACTTCCCATTCGCTTTCTTTACTAACAGCACTGGAGAGTTGTACGGGCTATCAGCTTCTTCAATAATATCGTCTTTTAACATCTCTTGCACTTGTCGCTTCACTTCGCCTTCCAGATGACATGGTATTCTTCGCGATGTAAATGACATTACTTTTGGATTAGTTAACGGAATTTCATGATTCACCTTGTCGCAATAACCGTATGGATCGCCATCTCCAGTGAACAGATGATCGTATTTCTTAATTAAATCTGTCATGTTGTATACCGTCGACAGGTTCACCGCTGCTATCTCGCTTGTCTCATACATTTTGATACGCCCGTATTTCGTGACCACCACTTTCGCTTGCGTGTCAAATATTGCACCAATCTCCCGCAGAAAATCCGCTCCTAATATCGTTCGCTGTAGTTCGGGCACAACAATGAAAGGAAACGTCACCTCGCACCCTCCAACAACAATCGTACAGTTCTCAATCGCTCCCACTAAGTCTAGGTTCATACGAAAGAAAGAACAAGCATTATACTGTCTGAAATTTTTCCTTTTCTGTCTTTCTGGGCAGTCTCTTCTCCAGTGTCCTGGCTTGCCGCATTCAAAACATCGGTTTTTTCTATTACCCAACTTTAACGCCGCCACTTCCCGCTGCAATGCTTCAATTTGCTGCTCATATTCATTTGGTTTCGGCTGCTCTATAGCGGCTACAGTCGTGCTCAGCAGCTGTCTGGTCACCTTCGCTAGCTCACTAATATCCATCGGTTACGTTGCGTTAACCAGTTTTAACTGCTGAGAAATGTGGTCTGGTACACTCTCGATGAATTGGGAAGATAGTAACTGCTCTTCTGATTCTTTATCCAACGTGGGAAGCGCCCGTCGAAGTAAATTCGTCAATTTCACCACCAATACTAACGGGTCTCCATCAGGTCCCAGCCTCGTTGATCGGAACTGCTGCATCGCTAGCTGTTTGTCTGTTGCGCTGTCGAACTCCGACACCAAATTTTCAACCAATCTCTTCCAAGACACTGTGCCGTTTGACCGGTCTACGCTGTCATATGCCGCCTTCGCTCGGCCTCTCAACAGCGTCCCCAGAACAACTGCCTTCGCCGCCTGCTCCTTGACACCCACCAGCTCAGCTACGGCTTCGAAATCACGTAGGAAGCTCCGTATGTCTCCCTCCTCAAACGCAGCTGGCCACGGGATCTTCATTTTTCCGGAGGCAGCGACACCAAATGTAACAACAGAAGACAAGGCTGGCAACAGATCAGTTTTATTACGAAAACCAACAGGTATTTATATGTATTTTACGTACAATAATAAGGCTTCTGCCCGCAGAAAGAAGGCGGTCTTCTGATTGGTTGTTTGCAAACAAACGCAGTCTTCTGCTTTCTCGTTTTCGATATTTTTCGGAAATGCGAGCCACTTGTCTGCGAATCATATTTGTCCACATTTAGGTCAGCTGTGATTGGTTGTTGAATCACCCTAGATTAATTTCTACCAATCAGCGTAGATCAATGTCTACCAATTGGCTAGCAGCTTGCTCTCACCACAATAGTTATAGTTATAATGAGTAATTTGTTATAATGTTATGATTTGCTTGAATTGAAATAGAATTTTGAGATTATTTGTTATCCTCTTCTGATTCGACTGGCGGCAATAATATCTTCCATATTTCTGGTATTTGCATTGAATCATTTCTGTTGCATGTTTTGGGTGTAGACTCAATGAACCAGGATTCAGTAATCACTCTCCCTCTCCACCTACATAGATTACTTCTTAGAATCTTAACCCTCCCCCACCCTATTTTGTACTTGTGTGTTAACGCATGCAGTGCAATTGCTGAGCTTTTTTCTAAATTACACTCGTCTTTTTTCTCATCTAATTGTAATTGATCAATAACTCATTTTATTATTTATGAATGTAAATTATCCCATATTGATTTTTATTCAAATATCTAGTCAATTCCACACATGTATATAAATGAAGGAAAGAAGCTGTGTGAGTAACTTGATATGATTATGAGCAATAGTTTGTGCTCGAAACGTCATCATCAAAATGAAATCATATCCATAATGGAGTTATCCTCTGTCACGGTGTCCAAGTTTGATACCTATACTAACTAAAGCCTCCCTGTCCAGTCCTCATAGAGATGAGACACCTAAGTGTAAAATCATCTGAGTGCCAGAACTTGATGGTGGTTTTCGCTATCTGAAGACTTATTTTACGAAATCATGCCTGAAAAACCTTGTGAGAGCCCGAGGATGACCTAGAAGTTAGTTCAGACCACCACTATTTACTTTATTTCCACTTTGTTTTGGTTGTAGTATGGTTTCAGAAAGTTGCATTAAGTCCTTTGATCATTGAGATCTGCTATTGGAACAAGGTTGAAACAACCTTCGTCTCTCTGTATCCTCCGAATATTCTGCTAGAAAATGATGTATTTTAAATAAGTGTCCCTCTCTGAATTTAATAAAAGATACTGCAACGGTATTACTTAAGTGCAGTCGTAGGGATTTCAAAAGTTACACCCAACAGTGTACGATAAGGCTTCCTGAAATTAAAAAAAACAATGGAAATGTGTGCAAGTGGCAGATAAGGGAACTGCATGACAGTAAAGATTCTGACGAGACGATATGATAGGAAACTTGACCTGAGGACGTCAAGTTGAGTTCAAATATACACTAAAATACGAATTCCATCTCCTGACCATTATAAAAATTATTGCAAATCTAGCTAAAGATTTTGTGAAATAAAACTTTTTTTCATGTAGAGTATTGTTTTCCAACCTTCACTCTTGACAAATAAATGTTTATTTTAAATGTACTGTAGCACGGTACCACAAATTACTGTTTGAGCATTGAGGCAGGTTTCGCCGCCGAAGTTGACGAGATCCTGTAAGTAATTCGGCCCGGTATCTAAGCTAAGTGTCGTTTTGTTCTGATTTGTATTATGACACAAATTCTCATTCCAGATACTCCATAAATGAGCAGAGGTTGCTGCGTTTTCCTGATGTAAATGAATGTCGTGTAGGTTGACTTCTAGTTTTTGTCAATAATTTACTTAAGGTTTGCAATATGATGACTCCACCATCTAATAAATTCAGGAATTCATCAAGTATTCACAAGAAGCGGATATGTGGAAATGACAGTCATCACAATACTGGCGTCCATGAAGCTAAACGTATCCGACGTTCGGATTCAACTTCGTCGCATAAAGAGAATAATGGACCATGTTATCGCAGAGGACCAGCTTCAAGAAGGCATACTCTGTTTCCATTGTGCAGTATTCATCTTTTGAATAATACCAGTGAAACCTCAGCTGCTGCACGCACACCTATACGAAGGCAGACAGTCCATACCAATAAAGTTAAGCGTACCACTTTACCAACTCGTTCATATAGTCTCAGATCCCTGAATCCTCCAAGACGTATTCTACGGAGTGGTAGTCAACTTAAGAATGAAGATTTCCTCAATAGAGTTAAGCCAAGACGAATTTCTACACTGTCTTCTCGTGGTTCAAGGAGAAATTCAATACGTGCTTCACCCAACAGAAGCAATTTCACAATTACTTCACGAACAGATATAACAGATGTCGAAAACTCTTTGTCATCATTGTTGGCTCCACTCCGTTTGAGTTCTGGTGGGAGAGATCGAACGGCCAAACCAAAGAGACCAAATACAAGACGCATGGAATTTTGTTCACAGGAGTTGGACCAGTCTGGTGATTGTCACCCTCTCTTGGAATCTCCGTCTTCTGTACTTGTAAGTATTTCGTTTATGACGTAATAGATATCTTACATGCATCTAAGTCACAAGTGTTTTTTAAAACGTTCAGACCTAGTAATTAAAAATATGGGGTCAGGGCCTAAGTATAACATGACATATATATATATATATATTATACAATTCTGCACATTACATGCACTCATTTTATCTGGTTTTCAGTTATTTGTTTACATGGATGCTATTTTTAATGGCTTAGAAATCTGTATTGTTTTCAGAATCAATCTATAGATGCTGACCCTTTACAAAATCTCCTGCAGTTATGTCGACAGTTAGAGGTCAAATCATTTAGTGAATACTTCGGTGGCACGTATGTTGTTCCTTTTATAAATCTGAATTTCTGCTTATAGACTGTCAACAGATCTTGTGAAAATAGGTGAAGGTGTTTACGGTGAAGTCTTTCGATATGTCAGGGGGAATGTGGTCAAAGTATTTCCTGTCAATGGGGAACAAATTGTAAATGGTGAGAAACAGATGGAGTTTTCGGATGTATTCTCTGAAGTCTTTGTATCTCAGTAAGTTTTTACAAAAAACACCCTTAAAGTGTATAGAAAAATGAGCGAACTCTCCTACAAGTACAGACTCAATCGATCAGTCAACTTCGCACAGTTAAAAAAGTATGTTCCTTTATATTGACTTGTCATTTTCAGGGCTACTGTAGTTGAGGGTAAGCTTCCTGTGATTCTCTCTGAGAGTTGGCGAATATATGAGAGCGAAAAAGGTTCAGACAACGAATGTCCCGATTTCTTGCCCAGTAAACAACTGTGGATGGTTCTAGAATTTGAGTTTGCTGGTGATCCTCTGGCTAATATTAAAGTAAGCCTTACTGTATTGCATGTACAACCTTTGTATATATTCGCTTTATTGTCATTTTTTTCAATATATATATATGCAGCCAGCCTAATTTAAAGTCAGAAGTTTTCTCATGTCAAAACCTGTCTTATTTAACAAAACTATTTGGATACTAGCTTTTTTCAGTTTTCGTTTCTGATATGTGTATGTATAGCGCTTTTAAAATATTCGGTTTTAGCAGCGTTGATAAAAGTGCTTACTCTCCAACGTTTTGAAGTCTGCAGTTAACTGTATGAAAGGCGTGAAATACAAACAAAAGATTTACTATTTAATTCATTTACTGCCTGGTACCAAGTTAGTCACAGTACAAAAATGGACACATGAGATTCTTTGAGAAAGCTTTTCACTTATTGTTCCCGTGACCTACTTCCTGCCTCTTGTTGAAACTAATTGTTTGTATTTTGACCCGGAAAATTTTTGGAATGAAGCATACTCAAGCTATTGCAACTCTGTATTCAGCCCCATAGCATAGTAGCAGTTTTGTGTTGTGCTATCAGGTGTTTCTTTCCCATATGGCCGTGTTGGATTATCTTTTCACTTGGTTCAGCAGCGATATCACTTCACAAAGCTTTTTCCCGGGTTTGTTTTCAGACTAAATGTGAAGAAATTGACCGAAAAGTGGTGTTATGGTGGGGTTAGGCCATGAAGGGATAGTGCCGAGAAAGCTTTTCGCGTCTAATCAAGGCACTGCTACTCGAACTCATGCATCTGCGTAAAAGCTTATGGAGAGATGTTATCTGCAGTGATGAAAAACAGTGAGGAGGATAAGCAGTCCCCATTTTTGTTGTCTGATTTCATCATAGATGTGCTATCGGAATAGATCCTAAATGACTTTAGCGACTTAAGGATAGGCTTACTGCCAAAAATATTCTTGCGGAGTTTTGTTGGAGTTATGCACATGATATTGTTGTCTTAGGTGAAAACGATTATATAAAATGTAGTCTTCTTCAGACGTTGAGAAAAAACTATGATTATAATCACAAATATCTTAATTGCATTTCATACTATTATTATTCCATGTATTCACACCTTTGACCTAATTCCCTCACCGGATATAATTTCTTTTAAAAAAACCATATATATACGATTGAACAGCTTGATAATAAATTCGTTGAAGAGTCTCTTCGCTGAATATTGTGTTCTTAATTCCATGTTATGTTAGATGGTAGGTGTAATAGGGTGAGCAATATTGAGTTAGTGAAGCGTCGGTTGAGTCCTAACTAGATGAGAAGGGAAAATCAATCTATTGGCGAGGTTGCGAAACACTAACATTGGTTGAGTGAGATGGTTAGGACATGTGTTACTCATACCTGCCTATCCCTCGATTGCCTTTCCCGATTGCAGGTCAATGTTAGCTTAGCTGACATAAGAGAGATGGATGAAGTTGGAAAAGAGTTAGCTAGCTAGCTATCGCGTGGTGGTGGTAGTCAAACGAAAACATGACTGGCTTCATCAGTCAGCGGAATTCATAACAACAACTAGTTAGTTTAAGCCAGCTTGCCAGCCACGCAGGTAGGTGTTGACTGGTTGGCTGGGGTCCTTGGAATGATGATAAGAAGCGATGAAGGCTGGAGACAAGTAGTGTTGATGTGGCTCAAAATTATCGTTATCAATGATGACAAAGATGCATTCACTCTTTGTGGTTTGTCATCATATCCAATAAAAGTCTATTGTTCTTCCACCACCATATTACTATTCTGCCTCCCTCCCTCCCTCCCTCCCTCCCTCCCACTTGTGTTTATTTTCTGTCTTTTGAATGAATGTCTGTTTACTCTGTTCTGTTGCTTTGTGTTACATGGAGGGAGAGTGGCGAGTTAAACTGCTGCACATCTGTGCAAAGTTCTATGTTGAAACCAGTCAATCAACAGCAGTGCTAAGCTTTCTCGCTGCTGTTCTATTCGCCGAAGATAAATTCCAAAGTACTTTTTATTTTTCCAAAAAGTATCTTTATCTCATCAGAGTCCAACAGTAAACACAAGACTCACTTTGTGATCGAAGTATTCTATCCTTCATCTATTACTTCTTTTGTCACCTATCTTCTCCTGCCCGCTATAATTCTTTATGAACATTCAGTATGTTATTATTATTATTGTTCCTTAAGGTTCCAAGCGGAACATACTGCTTCGACAACACATTTCCACTTCTATTTTCGGCCGTCCTCTTTAGCTGCCCCCACGACTGACCATAGTCTCTCATCTGCCCTCACGAATTCCTACATGTCACACTCGGACGACCCACTCGTCGTCTCACATTTGGGTTGCAATCGAGGGCCTGGCGTGCAATGTCCTTCGACTGCATCCTCAGTGACGTGTACACAGTCCATCTTAGGCATACTTACCGGCGTCCAACAACCGTTACATTTCTTGACCTAAAGGCGGAATTCGATTCTGTCGACCGAGAGGTATTATGGTGATGCTTGGCTATGAAGGAAATGCCGAGGAAATACATTACACTGATCAAGGCGCTCTACTCGAACTCATGCAGCCGGGTGAGAGCTTACGGCGAGTTGTCATCTGAAGTGGTGACAACAGGTGGTGTACGACGGGGATGCCCGCTATCCCCATTTCTATTCAATTTCATCATAGATGTACTAATGGAATCAGTGCTAACTGCTGACTTCAGAGACTCACGGATTGACTTGTCACCAGAGAATAATAGTCTCGTTGACTAAGAATATTCAGGTGATATTTTATTTTTTTTGATTTACAGCTTGATTCCACACAGTATTTTCAGTACAAGCATGGAACTTTCAGCATGGATATCGGTAGCCCAAATTCAGGCTGACCATAGATATCGAGTGTGCGCCGGCAGGGGATCGAACCCCGGACCATGTGCATGGTCGGCGAGAGTCCTAACCACTGTGCCACCGACGCACAGTGTCTGTCACCTCACTCCGAGGTGAAGACTGACAAAATCTAGCAGTCTTCAGAAAACCTTGAGTTACAATCTGAGAATGTTTGGCAGGCAATTTGCTCTCGCCAAATGTAAGATGATGCTACACAACTGGACCACATTGACTCCTAGCTTGGAAATAGGGAGTGAAGTGGTGGAGTGTGTTGACCACCTCACTTATTTGGGAAGTTGCATCAGCCAGTCCCAAAGGGTTGATCATTGACGAAGTCTCTGCACGAATACAGAAGGCTCGTTTGGCAAATGCCAACTTACGCCATCACTCGCCTGGTAGACGTGATACCCGGCTGCCTGTCGATCAAAAGGCGTGTGTACTGCCCGGGAGTCCGCTCCGTCCTCCTTTATGGCTATCCGTGAGACCTTGCCATTGAGAGTGGAAGACATCAAAAGGCTAGCTAGTTGTCTTCGATCACAGGTGCCTGAGTTCTATGTCCCGTGTGAAGTAGTAAAATAGGATGAGTAATCTTGACGTGAGGCATCTGTCGAGTGCTAGGTGAGGAGGGGAAATCAATACATGAGGCTGTGAAGTTACATCGATTGAGATGGCTAGGACACGTGTTACGTATACCTAGCCATCACCTTCCTCGACAATGAGCAATGTTAGCTGACATATGGTGAGGTTGGAAAAGAGTCAGTGGTGGTCAAACCAAAACATGGCTTCATCAGTCAACGCAAGCCACAACAGTTAGTTTAGGCCACGTCAGGAGGTGTAGACCTCTTGACTGGTTGGCTCAAGAAAAAGGAGAGACTCCTCTGTTTCGCCTCTTCCATGTGTTTTTGCCAGTTCACCTGTGCGTGCAGAGCTAGTTACATAGGTCGTACGTTCGGGCAAAATCATAGTCAAATTTCTGAACACGTCTCATCTTGATTTGGCAAATATCCGAATAATGCTGCTATACGCAGCTCAATACTAGCTCTTCTCGTCGATACTGACTGGACATCAAATCGACTCTAACAAAGCTTTTAAAGTTATTTATCGTATATCACCCAACCTCTTGCATGGTCTACGAGTACGATTTTTACATATGGCAGAGGCAATCGGAATTCATCTGAACAAGCCTAATCTATGTGTTTAAAAGAAATTTATACAGCCTATTTCTTTGCCATGGCCAACTACATAATATGTATTAGTTTTTTAAATACGATTTTTTCCGTCCTCCTTGCAAATGTCTTTTGACTTTGTTAATGTTTACAATTCTAGCTAATTCTACTAACTTGTTTATTTTTATAAAAGATATGTAGATGACATAATCATATATGGTAAACTGACAGACGCCATAGAAATCCTGAACCAAATCAACAGAGTACAAACGGCATATCGCTAACATACGTGAAAGAGAATAATGGTTGCCTGTCACTTTTAGATGTACTCGTAGCCCTCTGAGAAGATGGGTCATTAAAACGATCGGTCGGTCGGTCGGTTTTCGACATAGAACTTTGCACATATGTGCGGCAGTTCAAGTCGCCACAATCTATGTAGCACGCAAAGCAAGAGAAGAAAGTAGAAGAAATGCATAATATAGACAGTAAACAGAGGTGTGAGACAAAGGAATAGTAATAACGGAGAACAAAAGTTTAATTGGAAATCATAAGTCACAAGGAGTGGATGCATCTGCACCAGCCATTGAGAACGATTTTGAGCCATGTCACCAATTGTTTCCAACCATTGGTTTTTACCATCCCGAGGGCCCCAACCAGGAAGTCTACATCTTCCTACGTGGCTTAGATTAACTGTTGTGGATTTCATTGATTGGTGCCATGTTTTCGTTTGACCGCCGCTAGCTCTTTTCCAGCCTGACCCTATATCAGCTAACATTGCCCGTCGAGGAAGGCGATGACTAGGCATACGTAATACATGTCCTAACCATCTCAGTCGAAGTAATTTCACAGTCTCGTCGATTGATTTCCCCGCCTTACCTAGCACTCGACGCCTAACCTCAATATTGCTCACCTTATTATACCACTTCACGCGGGAGATAGAACGCAGACACCTATGATCGAAGACAGCTAATCTTTTCATGTCTTCTGCTCTCAATGGCCAGGTCTCACAGCCA